CTGCAGGAGTCTCAGTATGCAGTGGAGAAACTAGTTCATGCTATTTCCCACATGAGGACCCCAGAGAGTGCCAAACACTGCAGCACTAGCTGTCCAAAAAGGTTATAGTCAGCAATGCTGTAATATGAAATTGTGAATTATGTTTAGTATCTTTTGCAGTGGTTTTGATGGTGGAATGCCTCACTGTACTGTTTAAAGACGTGGAGGATATTCTTCTACTTGGACAGCTGCTAAGGATGCCAGAAGAAACTCTGGCTGCTATTGACAGCTACTATGAAGAAGATTGTCATAAGATGAGCCACATGTTATCACTGTGGCTGATGGAGGATCACGAGGATCCAGTAACTCCTCTCAGAGATGCCCTCAATTCTCTGGGGAAAGAAGAAGTCTCTCAGACTCTTGTGCTGTTGACATCCCTTGGTGAGTGGACCAGATGTGTTGATCACTGTTCAAAGTTGACTTTCTCTTCCAGACACCCATGCAGAGGATGTCACAAACACATTGTCCGCCAGTGTTGATATAAAGCAGATGACTTTCCTTGGAAAGGTATTTTATACCACTAAATATTGATGATATTGGGGTTATATCCTTTATTCATTAGGTCATCTCGTGACTCTGTCCAATCTGATGCGAGTATTCAAGAATGTCATATACCTAGACAGGGTATCTAATGCCTTTGGCATGTCTCCTGAAGCAATGGGTGGTGATGAGGAAGAAAGACTTGGAATGGTTTCCAACTTCTTCCTGGAGAAAAAGCTGACGTGGAAGCACCTGAGAAAGTTGCTGATCAGACATAATGAGATGCAAGCAGGAAAGTTTGTTGACCTGATGGAACAGTATGTTCGTGAAGGTAATACAAAGTTCTCTTTGATGTTTGAGGATTACAGTTGATGTCCTTACAGATGCTCCTCTGACGGCTGTCTTGGCTCACGAAGTATTGAAGAAAGTTGAAAATTTTAGGCAATTTTGCAAGCACCTATGCATTGCCAGAAGGGAAACTGTTATAGAAACTATACAGTTCTATGTAGAAGAGCCATACTTTGAAGCGTCTTGGAAAAAGATAGCTCTGGGTCTATATCACTCATTTGAAGACAGATCCATTGACTCCCTATTTCACTACATGAAGTCTCCTCCTGGTTAGTTACTGATTTGGAGTGGAGAGCGTGACTCTTAGTTGTTGTATATCTGCAGAAGTGACTCTGACAGTGGCTAATGTGAAGAACTGTTTGGAGGACTCAGTTCCCAGACACATGTTCCCCACTCTGGAGAGGGAGCTGGGAGTCCCCACATCGAGACACAAGAGAAGACAGCCACCCTCTCACGGGAATGAAACTCTGGCTGCTCTCTAACCCAACTGCCTCCTGGCAGAAATTAGCCATAGCTCTTTACTCCTCCACTCTAGATGGAGCACTGCGGAGGTTGAAGGAACTGAAACTACTCTCTAATCAAGGTAACCATTTGTCGTTCCCTTGGCTAGTCTTTGGTTACAGGTTTAAGTGCAATAAACATCCACTTCGCAAGGTTTTTTTGGCTTTGATATGTAGTCTTCCTGAAGCGTGGAATTGAGCTCATGCACTACCTTGTAGATCTTTTATGATACACATCCACTAGGTTTTATGTGTACGTAGTTTTTCAAAAGCCTTGAGTTATGGAAACAATCTGGACTGAAAGAGCTATAGCCTATACCCACTTACGATTTACAATTTATTTGCCTACGGCAGCTTTCTTATGTGTTAGTAATTTTTTCAACTGAACAATGCTCTTCGAAACTGCCTGGGCTGATAATTCTAGCCCAAACACTGCCCTACATAGATTACGTAAATCTGCAATCTTCTCTGAGTTACCCTTAACCATGTGTAGTACTGTACAGAGTCAGGCAATTTCAAAGTGTCTAATGTCTGAGGTCAATACTTTCATTGTACCCTTCCCTGGTGAAAGTTGTAAGGCTTCTGTTGTTACATTGGCTAGTATTAGTATTATGTATTTTTCATGTAAATTCAGTTTTAGTCTTTTAAATGCATGTAGCCATTTGAAGAGCTAAATTAGTTTCCAGCCTGATTATCTGTTTGTGCCTCACTTCAGCTGCTGACACATTAGTACAATGTTGGTATAATCATGGCCGTGTCAAGCAGAAGTATTTACTTGATACCTGCAGTTATTAAGCCTCGGCGGTTTGGGTAATTGTCTGTCTTTTTGTCTGCAGTCTCTCTGTTACGTGCTATTCTGGCACTACAGGCTATGAGACGACAAAAGAGTGATGCTATTGCCTAAAGCGAGATTTGTGTCTAATATTGATGGCATAATGCACGAAAAGCCAATGAGCAATATTATCTCAGTGTTTTCCAGTGTAACACACCATTGGTTGCATTAAAGTCACTCTGAAGACGATTATCTAATCTAGCGGCGCTCAAAATGCTACTCACTGATGCTGCTTAGCCCTTGTTAGAGCGAGAAAGGAACTGTATGTAATATAATGTGCAAAAATAATAATAGGGGCAAGTATATATAAACACAATAATTATCGGCTCTTGTCAAGAGGACAGAGTCAGATGGATGGTATAATAAATTTAGGTGGTCCGAGCCAGAACATTCTAGTAGCAAATCTATGGCGGTTGGCTCATCCCATCCCCTCCCCCCCACAAGTAGCTCCGACCCCGTCCCCAGTCTGTCATTGTTACCTGCGTGTGTGCCTGCGCAGTACGTTCCATTCGAAGCATGTACACCAGCCGATGGTTTGCCACTGTTTTCTGTGGCTGTGACTAAGTGAACGGAATCTTGTCCTGTGAGTGTATAACACCCAGCATTGCCTTCAAGTACAATAAACTACACATTTTTACGCATGCATAGTGCATAACATTGCAGCTATATACATGTGGAGTATTTATCTTGGACTGGGTGCTTGCACTTCAGTGCTTTTAAGCACGTAATGTTGTATGCAATTTTTAAGCCATACTTTGCACTACAGTACTCACTGCAATAATCAATTGCGTTGCCTAGAGGCTCTGCGCATTTAGCCTTTAGGACCTAGTTTTTATTTTCGCGGCGAGGGTTTACTCTTGCTTTTATTTTTTTTTCGCCGAGACATTAATCAGGTGCGCTACAGTAGTTGGGTAGGAGCCTGCATGATAAACTTGTGCTACGTACATGATTGATTCTCTTCAGCCTACTTAGAACGGTGAAATATAGTACCTTGCAGCTAAGTGTCGGCATCATTGTTACATAGTCATTTTAAGGACCTTGTTTATTTTGTAAAAAATGGAAGGTTTAAACATTAAATATTCTCTCTCCTGCAGATGCAAGTTTTACAATGGCCAATGTCCTGTCAATGACAGAAGGTGTACAGGATCATGAGGGTCTCGGAGTGCTGCTGGGAATTCGTGACCCACAAACCAAGTTTCACAAAATTAGACAGTTACATAAGAGCATAAAAGAGCAAAAGGAAGCCATACTTCACCTGTGGTACACAACACATCCTCTTGCATCGTGGAGTCTACTGCATCAGGCCCTCAATATGATAGGAGACATCAAAGCAGCCAAGACTGTACAAGAGAAGTTCCTAGGAGGTGTGTTATTAACTCTCGGCGTGCATGTGCAGCGAGGGTTGCAGCATTTGGTCTGTGTGTCAGGATGTTTGTTAGTCTTTTCTGCACCAGTATACAACAAACAAGCCAAGTAGCGATCCTAGACTATCAATGCTATTTTAATTAAAGTAGTGTTTTATGGTGTGAAAAGTAGGTGAATAAGCCAATATGCATATTACCACTGGCTTACCTTGGGTAGGTTCCCCCCCGCATTATGCACTGTGGAGGCATCAATATTACGATAGAAGATGAGTATATAGTACCGCAATGCCTAAAACGCTATCACCTGTCACACTCTCAATGAGCTAGGAAGAAACCATGCATGAATCAACAGCATGCCCCAGTCAATCAATTAGCGACCCATGCATGCATATTGGTGTTTCAATGCGTATTACAGTAGTTTTCACATGCACATGATTTTAGTGTGCAGAGGGCTTGCGCTTTAGTTCTAAGTTACTGGGTATTTTGTAATATTGCTAAGGAACCATTTCCCTACAAGCCACTAACTCATTAATCATGCACAACCTTTTTGTTTATCTGAGCTACTTCAGTGCTGCATTATATAATGACTGGGAGAAATGAACAGGTGCAGTGTTTTTGAAATAAGAAAGACATAAATTGACAAATGTTAACTCCATTTGAACAGGCTTAATTAAATGCATCCGCTAATTTTTATTGATAATACTCTACACAGCCCCTACTATCCAATGGTATTACCCCTATGACGTTCAATGGCGCAAAAAAATGACTATTTTTCACACTTTCTACTGTGTAAACGACCAGTCCACTGCAGTTCCCTGGCGACTTTCTCCATCGCCTCCTTAACTGGAAATATACAACCTTGTACCTACCAAGACATCAGAACCTCGGAGAAAATAAGAGAGCAACGACATTTATAGGTCTTGGTGTGCGTCCGCGTTTCATATCACGGGACACAAAGCATCAAAGGTATCTGATTTTATCCATGCACTCACGACAAAGGCATCGTTGTTGTCTACCTCCATAATTTTAAAGTGTTTGTTGAGGTAGTAGTTGCTACTTCTGATAAAGCTTCTGCTGACAGTCCTTAACAACCAGAGTAAATTCCGAGTCATGAAAAAGGTCTCCCCAAGGCTATCTAAATACGACAAGCGTATAACTTATTTAGAGTCATGACAAAGCATTCGTAAAAATCAGTCTACAAGGGTATGCAGTCTAACCTTGATGGCTTTCAAGAATATTATTTGCTGAGTGAAAAAAACACAGACTTATTATGCATTGAGGCTATTCGTCTAGAACGTTCTAGAGACACAGAGATACAGGTGTAATGTTCTTGGTGTACAAAGGCACAATAGTGATTGCATAACAATGAGTAAGAGTGTTCCAAGTTACGTAACAGTCTGGATTGGTGAGAGTGCACATTTTCACCACACTCCTCACTCTCTCCAATCGAATTGTCTGATAGAGCTCTTTAGTGAGCATGTCAGCAATCATGTCTTCCGAAGCACAGTATACCAGTTTGATCTTTCCAGCCTCCACAGCATCACGGATAAAGTGATATTTAATGTCTATATGTTTGGTGCGTCCATGAATGCTCTGGTTCTTGGCAAGACATATGGCAGACTGGTTGTCCTCGAGGATCGTTGTTTCTCGGATGCTCTCGTTTAACAGGTCTCCCATGAGTTGCTGAAGCCAAATGGCTTCTTGGGATGCAGTGGCCAGTGCAACATACTCTGCCTCGGCAGTGGATAGAGCCACACAGGTCTGTTTGCTGCTCTTCCAGCTGATAGCAGCACCTCCCAGAAGGAACACGTACCCAGAGGTTGATTTTCTGTCTCCAACATCGCCAGCCCAGTCTGCATCCGCGAGTAGTAAGGCAGTGGATATGTCCATCTGGTGTAGCTGCAGCTTGTGTTGAGCCCCCAAAGCTATAGCAGATCTGATGGATTCGAAGCGAAAAACGGGACTGAAGGTCTCTTCGTAATCGAGACCGAACCTCTGAGTGCAGCCTTGAGCAACCAGTCGGGCCTTGTATCTTTCCACTTCTTCATCTGCGTCGACTTTTCTCTTGAAAATGCATTTGCTGCCAATGATCCTTCGATTTGGTGGTGGCTCTACCAACTCAATTCAACAGATTTCATTCAATTGAAGAGATGCCATTTCTTTTTCCGCGGCCTTTCTCCACTTGTGTTTGTCAGTACTTGAATTGACTTCGTCTACTGAGGTGGGGTCTGGTCGTTCAGTCAAAAGCAGCGAAAGGTTGTGACTGTACCAGTCAAGTTTTTGTCGGTTTCTGGTTGACATCCATAGATTTGGTGTCTGATTTGACGGCACGTTGGTCGAGGCTTACTCTTAACTTGACGGTTCATCCACAAGTATCTCTTCAGGCACACTGCTTGTAGTATTTTGAGTCACCGATTCCTCGGCAACAGGCTTCTCTTCGACCTCGAGCTTCACTTAATTGGGAGGGAATTCCTTCTCCTTCTGAACCCCGGGCATAGAGGTTTCATCGAAGACAACATTTCTGCTGTAGATCACTTTCATCCGTCTAAGATCATATAGGCAATAGTTATTAATATACCCCAACGCTACGCACTTCCTTGTCTTGGCAAGTTTGTGTCTTTTAGCTTTAGGCACATGAGCGTTTGCACAGCATCTGAATATGCGAAGCGAACATACATCTGGCTTGGTACCACTCCATGCTTTGTGAGGCGTGACTCCTTCTAGTGCCTTGGTGGGACTCTGCTTCCGGAGATACACAATTGCTGACAAGGCCTCTGCCTAGAATCTGTGAGGGAGCTTGGAGTCAGCTAATGTGGTGCGTACACCTTCGATCAGTGTACGGTTTAGTCACTCGGCGATCCCATTTTGTTCTGGAGTATGGGGTGTTGTCAGCTCATGTTGCTTTGGTCATGTACGAGTCGAATTCGTTCGAGGTATACTCACCTCCATTGTCAGAGCGAAGAGCCTTGATTTGTCTTCCACTCAACTTCTCGACCTGGGCTTTCTGCTCTTGGAATCGCCGAAATACCTCGTATTTGTGCTTGAGGATATAGACCCACACGTGTCGGGTGTGATCATCAATGAACGTGACGAAGTATTCTCCTCCACCGAGTGATTCGGTTCCAATTTTCCCACTTACATCACCGTGTATCAGCTCGAGTGGACGATCTGCTCTTTTCCCACTGGAATGTTGGAATGGCAACCTGTGACTTTCCCCTCCACACAGGACTTGCAGAAGCCAGTATCCTGTTTCCATTCGAGATCTATTCCACTGACCATTTTGTTTCTTGTCAGGGCTTGCATGCCTTGAGTTCCCAAGTGACCAAACTGTCGATGCCAAATCATTACCTTGGAGCTGTTGTGATTTGAGCTTGGACAGGCTTGGTGAGCGGGACCTCCTAGTACAGACTTCCTTCTCTGTATCCAGAGGCTATGAGCTTTGAATTGGAGTCTCTGATTTCACATCTCGTCTCAGTGTAGGTGGTTACCTTTCCTTTCTTAGCAGCTGAGGTAATGCTGAGTAGGTTGTACGCTAGATCTGTTAGCTACCAGGAGAACATTGTAAAGTGTGTAGGTCTCTTTCCCCTTCGGTAATTTCATTGTTAGCGTCACATGCCCGCTTCCTACCGCCTGAAATTTCGACCGTCACCAAGCATCACACTCATCGGAGTGGGTAGAGTTTGTACAGCAGTGAACATTGAGTCCTTGTTAACCCTGGCATGCGCAGCGAGCGTTATTTTAGTTGGTCTGTGTGTGTGTCCGTCCATCCGTCTGTCCACCGTTTATCTCGGTAACCACGTCAACTGTGAGCGTGAAACGTGGATATATTGAAAAGTAGAGGGCATCCATTGTAAACTAAGATTGTGTAGCGGAGAAGGCCAGGGAAGCTGGTGTAATGGACGGCTGCCGAGGTGAGTGTGCGTCAAATAGAGACCGCGGATGATCGCTGTACTTAGATGCTGGATGCTTTGCGCGTGTGGAGACCAATTGCTCATCGCAAACTTCGGTCGTGGACTTGATATGATCTTGCATCGAACACCCTTCACCCAACCTCATAGAAAAGAGTTTCCGTTTGCGCTCAAGTTTATTAGCCCACGTCTTGTGTTGAAACTGGTCAGCTGGGGCTTTCCACACTTTAACTGGATCCATCGGGTCAGCGCCAATTACATATAGAGCAGACATGGTTCTATGTCCAACATGACGGTCGCAATAGCTTTGTCTCTCCTTGCTGCAAATCTTGCCTGTTGGTTAGCGTTTTTGGCTCTTTCTGTTCCGTTCACAATGCTCCAAAGTCCCTCTTTGATCAATGCCATCGTACATTGTATTTTCCACGTGGAGTAATTCGTGCTGTTCAACGGCACCACTGCCACGATCTTAGACTCGGCCGTTCTTGAACTCTCCAGCGGCAATCTGTGAGCTAAGGTCGGATAAGCTCAAGGTTTGTTTGGATTTCATGTAAATAGATACCATGATTTTCGAGTATTAGATGTGGCAATGTCAGTTGCTCAAGTTCTCCAAGCATCCTCCTTGGACCATACTCCCTGTGTTGCGGTTCAACATCACATGTCTGCCTAAATAAGGCAATGTAACGCCAAACAGTTCTTTCAGAAACGCAAAACAGAGCAGGTAGTTCAGGATAACATAGATCCAAACAATTCGCCGTCTGAGCTCAATGGAGTATGGATTTGCCATGTCAGAGAAGCGATTTTGAAAATGAAAACTGTTCAAACGATGACGTAAAACTGAGACTGACAACGAACGTGCAATTTCCGGTA